TTGTCCCATTTCAGACCACATGACCATTCCCTTGAGTATTGTATAAGCAATAGACCCATTCAGCTTGGCTCAATGTTGTCCCATTTCAGACCACACGACATTCCTTTGAGTAACTATTAATGTAATGAAGTTAATGTGTTCGATGTTTTCTTATAAAGATGTGGACGAATGCAAGACCAAAGAATACAAATGTAATGAGAACGAAGTCTGTGTAAACACCCAGGGCTCATACAAGTGCGCATGCGCTAATGGCTACAAACTAAGCGATAATGGAACTTGCATAGGTAAAAGTAAAATTTATCTATTCATTAATTCATCCATTCATCCATTCATCCATTCATCCATTCATTCATTCATTCAATGAACTTCCATCGCTTTTTACACCCAACGCATTTAATCAATCGCGCACTCTCTCATCGCGTATTCTATTTAATATTAACAGACATTAACGAATGCAGAGATGATTCTCATAACTGCCATGTGAATGCTCTTTGTACCAATACCGTTGGTTCGCATTTTTGCCGATGTATGCGCGGTTTCTTTGGAGACGGACGAAAATGTATTGGTAAGATTTATATGAAATATTTCTCAAGCAATCTAAACATTTTAATCGGGTTGATTAAACCAACAATTCACACAAAGGAAGGAAACTAAGTAAAAGCAAAAAGTTGACACACTCGTAGGCAGCGTCTAGAAGAGCAATAAGCAAGGTAGACAGTCAAAGAGACTAACTGACTGACTGACTGACAAACACATAGATAAAATGACAGACAGAACCCAACGAAAACGATGAATTAACTGAGATTGTGTTCGATAGATGTGGACGAATGTTCTTCTATCAACAATTGTGACATCAACGCTGTTTGCACCAACACTGAAGGTTCTTATCAATGTACTTGTAAAGATGGATTCAGAGGCGATGGAAGGACTTGCACAGGTAGGAATCAATGCGTAATCACACCCAAATTCAATCCACACAAATTTACTTRTTACCCCGCCAATATGTCCAGTACTATTTCATCTCTTATAGTACACTCAACAAAATTACTCGACTCTGATTGGTCGAGAGGCAAGGGCGGATCCAGGGGGAGGGTCGGGGGGGTCGCGACCCCCCATGTCATTCCTGAGCTCAAATGGATTCTTGTGGTAAAAATGCGACTGGGATTCCTTTGCCCACAAAATTTACCCCTGAGACCCCCTTTCAAAAAAACCCTGGATCCGCCCTTGAGAGGAGTACAATTATAGCGTTAATTGTACTCCGTAGGAGTACCGAATTAAGTCGCACTGGCAACACGGCCAAAACAATGTCAAAACAATTATTTTCTATCATTTTGTACTTAAAAAACATATAAATAAAATTTTAAAGCCGTAAGAACAAATCTTTTTTATGCATTTCAGTTGCGCGATGGACTGAAAATCGGCCGCCAAATAGACAAAGATAAACGGCGTCGCTTCGCATTTTTTACTGAAATTATGTTGAGTGAACTATAAACAAAAATATACAAATAACACCAGTGACACACAACGCCGCATCCCACATCACTTTACTAACCTCCTACCCAATCAAACCCCACTTGAAACCCACTTGAACCCATTCACACGCCATTTGCTCGCAGATGTAATGCTGATAATATTAATCAATATTATTAATTTCTTTGATTAATCTTTGTTTTTTTCCAGAAATCCTAACACCTTGCAAACCCGGTTGTGCTGAAAATGAAAATTGCGTCAATGTAAACAATGTGTTCCAATGTTTATGTAAGGAAGGTTATGACAAGAAGAACGGGAAATGCCAAGGTAAAGCTGTCTGAAACACAGAGTTATCCCAACTAGTATGGGTATTTGATGAGGGAGGGTGATGTAGAAGCATGTCATAGACCAATGTATGGGTCTCCAAGACGGCGTTATAGTGAGACCGGGGGAAAAGACGACAGGAGGTGGGGGAGGGGGGAGAAAAGGAGCTACAGAAGAAACGATTACTTGTAGAAGATTCAGATGTTGGCAACGAACGCCCTACTCGTAGAACAAAGAAATAAAGACGGATAGAAGCCCTTTAGATATCTATCATGCCAAGCTCACTCAATCACTACAGAAATTGAAATACAGTTTGCAATTGTTATTTGTTATTTACAGAGCAGAATAGAATCTTCATTTTCGGTTTAAAGATACAAGATAAAATGCATCTTATTATCTTATATGGGTTTTCATACCTAACGATATAATGCTTAACCTTGTCCAATAATTGTTTGATGTCAACCAACAGATATCGATGAATGTGCTGACCAAATATTAAATGACTGTGATCAGAAGGCCACATGCAACAATACTGGTGGAAGCTTCGTCTGTAAATGCATGACAGGCTACATCGGTGATGGAAAACTTTGCTCTGGTAAAAGATTTCGTTTCTCGTTTTTAAAAATAACTATTCGAGCTTCCTGTTGTTTTTACTGCAAACGGTTTAGTAACTTGTAAAGGTCCATAACCTTGACTTTGCCCAATAATAATGCAGCTTAAAATCATGAGTGATTTGTTAGTACATTAGCTGTTGAACCAGAAGACAATCCTCTTCTCTTATATGAATAATTCAACAGTTTCTATTATGTCCCCCATTTTACTGCAGGTTCGGAAGGGTTGGGAGATAGGGCCTACCGTTTTAAGTCCTTGTTCGAGAAGCCATTGCAGATATTATTACAAAGGCAGCACGTTCTCCTCAGTTATTTTAAGACCCTGAGTGTTGGTCCGGCCGAGGTTTGAACCACGACCTCCTGCACAACAGACTGACGCTCTTACCAACTGAGCTAACCGGGTGGCTGTGCCAGGGGTGCCCAAGCAACTGATGCTTTGACTACTAAATTTTTAAACAGATTTGCTCCATTTGTACTGTTCTTTATTGATCACATCCAAGCCGCTATTAGAGTAGTTTTCGTATGACTGTGATAAAGACAGTGACGTATGCCTGTCTTGCCGTGACCTGTAGTTTTCTAGAAATTTGATTGGGGGGTTTTCTCTCGCGCAATGTGATTGGTCTGGCTGTGCGGTGACGTTAGCGTGACGGTGTCCGCGCCGTGTTCGTGCCGTGTTTTGGGCAGTTGATTGGATGGAGAGTAAACTCTAGTGTTATGTGATTGGTCTGGCGTATCCCTTGCCGTGTCACGACCGTGTTCGTGCCGTGAGCTTTTCACAGTCATACGAAAACTGCTTTAGCATCCTGGCGCAACTCCCCGAAGTAGAGGAGTGAGCGTTGCGACACTGATAGCGGCTGCGTAGGATCATCTGCACATTTGCCTATCATAAGAATATTAATCTATATATGTCCATTACTTTTCTTGAAACAGACAAAAATGAGTGTTTTGAAGGCGAAGACGATTGTGACCTCAATGCTGATTGTGTGAACACCGAGGGATCCTACACTTGTAACTGCATGAAGGGTTTCACTGGAGATGGCCGACGTTGCACAGGTATTTCACAACTTGAATGAGTGAATGATTGATTGAAACAAGGAAATCATAAAAGGATAGATTGATGAATGAATGAATGAATGAAGAAATGCATCAACAAATTCATAGATTAATTCCTTAATGCATATGGAAATGAATAAATGAAGGAATAAAAGGAGGGCCGGATGCAAAGGCGTACAATGATTGGTTAAAGACTTTAAAACTGTATTGCTTTTCATACAGAAATCATATCGACAACACCAAAGACCACAGTTACACTAAGTACTACTGTTAAGACGACGGCTGCTGAAGTAGTAACTGAAAAACCAACCACTGGTGAAGTAACTGGAAAACCAACCACTGGTGAAGTTGTAACTGGAAAACCAACCACTGGTGAAGTAGTAACTGGAAAACCAACCACTGGGGAAGTAGTAACTGGAAAACCAACGACCGCTGCTGAAGTAAGAACTGGAAAACCAACAACCACTGATGAAGTAGAAACTGGAAAACCAACAACCACTGATGAAGTAGAAACTGGAAAACCAACGACCACTGATGAAGTAGAAACTGGAAAACCAACCACCACTGCTGAAGTAGTAACTGGAAAACCAACCACCACTGCTCACGTAGTAACTGGAAAACCAACCACCACTGCTGAAG